CAGCGCCTCCTGTCCAGAGGGGAGCAGCGGGGTGGTTAGTGTGACCTTGGCGGGGGGGGAGGTCCCATCCTGCCCGTATCTTGGTTGTCCACCCCAAGGAAGCGGGATTTGCATCCTCCCCAAAAAGGGAGAAGGGTCCCGGTGCCGTGCCCCCTTCACCTCCCCCCATCGTCCCTGCGGGCTTTTTGATGTTAAAACCAATGTTGTGGGGAATTACTGAGCGTATTTTTGAACAGCATGGGTAAAATTAATTAATGAGAAAGTTCGTTTCCACCAGAGCAGCCCTGTAGCAATTAGTCTTGGGAGAAGACTTGGTGAGCAGCCTCAGGGCCCCCGGGGAGCTTGTCCTTGTCCCCGGGCTCTGGCAGTGCCGCTGCCAGCGCATAAGCTGGGAAGAACTGGGGCCGGCTCTTACCTGGCTGAGCCTGTCCTGGTCCCAGAGGGAGCCGATGATGAACGCCACAAGCCGCCCTTCCTCAAACCAGCCGAGGGAGAGCTCCGGGCACAGGTTCAGAAAGTGGCGGATCTCGTCAAGGTGGAGGGGACAGTCCCCGGAGACGGATATAAAGGCTGGAGGGGGATGGGGGTGAGCACAGGGAGGGGGACCCGGACAACCCCCCGACACTGATGTAGGGGATGGGAGGTGGGATGCCATGGGGAGAGATGGCGTGTGTCCTGCCGCCTGCTTGGTCTAAAGGAGCTCTGAGGGACACGGATGACTCCAGGGAGTAGCTCTGCTCCTCCAGAGACAGCCCCCCCCAGCCCAGGGACGGGCTCCCTGCTCTCGCTGCTGACTCCAGGGCTACAACAGAAGGTGCGGAGATGAACCCTCCTGCCTGGCAGCTCCCTGGCTGCCCTTGCCCTTTGGAGAGGAGGAGGAGATGGGCTGGTGGGTCTGGGTGAGGGGAGCTGGGGGTGCCTGGGATGGAGGGGGGAGGGCTTGGGGTTGCTGGGGTGCATCTCAGTGTGCCCCTGTGCAATAGAAGGCTGAGTATGATGTCCTTCCTCCCACCTTCCCCCTCTCCTGTCCGCTTGCCTCTGGCAGGGCTATCTTGGGAGAGCTGCTCTCCATTCACCTGGTCCTGCTCCACGATGACCTTCCACCCTGGGCAGCTGGGTGAACTGGGGGCCGTGGTTTTCCACCTTCCTTAATCACAGCCTCCCCCAGCTTGTGAAGGAGCTCATGGTTGCCTGGCCACCAGCCACGGCCGCTGGGTCCCTCCCTCATCACCAAAAAGAGCATGGGGGTTCTGCCCACCACGGTGTGCCCCCAAGGAGCACAAGGGATCTGTGGAGGGAAGGGATGGGGCATCTCCAGCTGATGCCACCAGGCAGGACCTCCCCGGGGCAGCCCCTTACCTTCCCGCTCGATCTCGAACACGCTGACAGCATCCTCGGGGCTGAGGCAGCGAAACTCGCTGGCGGGCAGCGTGTGGCGGCGCTGGCCCCCGGGCGAGCTTCGGGGGGACCTCAGGTGAACGGGCTTCAGAAAAGGCAAAGCGCTGAGCGTTGACATCCTCCTCCTCTTCCTCCTCCTGCTGCTCGGCTTCCCACCGCTCCCTCTGTTTGGGGCAGCCTCTGCCGGCTTCCCGGCCCCGCGG